TCAACTCTTAATTCTCACACTTGTGAAGTAAGTGCACCACAAGGTGTGTTTTACAGATGAGAAAACTAAGGTTAATAGATGACAAAACCCAGATTCAAACTCAAAATAAAATATTTTGAGTCCCAGATCTAGTCCTATATTTATAAGTAATTATATGTAAATACATAACATGCATTTGTATATATATGTATTTTTATATAAATGTTTATATATAAAATATTTAGTAACTAGTGTCTATTTCCAGTCACCAGCTGCATTAGCCCTTACCAAGAAAGTCAGCCTGTCCTTTGAAGCCAGACTTTGACTTCTCTATCCTCTGTGTCAACTTATTCCATCGGAAGTTTGTTTCATCTGCATTGAAAATCTGTTCTCTAGTGTAGTCACCTTCATCAGTGATCTTAGCTAGATTGTAGATAACCTATGTGCAGTTTCTCCATCAGCACTGGCTGCTTTATCTTGCATACACACACACACACACACAGACATCTCAAAGCCTTAATTTATAGACATGAATAGCTTTTGTTATGAGTAGTGAGTTTTTAAATTTTTAATCTTTTAACTTTTCTTAATCTTTCACCTACCCGTCAAAGAAAGAAAAAGTCAGCTGTGCAAACAGACAAGTAAGTGTGATATATAAAGGAGTCGCCAGGAGCTGTTAATCCAAGATAAATAGGATAAATGTGGGATAACATTTATTTTGCACATTGGCCAAAACTAGTCTTGAATTTCATTGACCCACCTGTGCTGTCTTGTTCCACTGCAGTCAGCATTGCTGCATAACTACCCATTAAAACCCATGATATTTAAAAAACAAAGAATACAGGCACTTGCTCTATGACAAATGTTTGCAAGTTGTAAGATTAATTATTGTAATAGCAGGAGTCAGCAGAATGCCCCATAATTTTCAGCCCAAATGCCTTCAGTTGATTTCTCATTCATACAAATTTAATTTTCTTATCTTCTCCAAAGAAGATTTTTAAACACTTGAATGTCATCCTTGATAGGGTGAATCCTTGATTCACCTTGATGTTTGCTTCATTAACTGCTTTTAGTAAGGTTAGTTTTATACTGTTGTTTTCTTTCCCTCTGTGTTCTGTCAAACCCTTTTATAAAAATTCTTCAAATGTACGGTAGTTGAATATTTTGGGACTGTCTCTGCTATATGTTTTTTATTTTTATGTTTTCCCCCTAAAGACACAGACATTTCAAAGTATTTGGGGAAAAAAAGGCATACCTTAAAGATTTTTTGAGCTCAAGTCCAGACCACTGCAATGAATGACTTCTTTGTTTTCCCAGTGCATATAAAATTTATGTTTACATGATACTATGCAGTAGCATTATGTCTGTAAAAACTATGTGCCTATCTTAAAAATTATTGCTAAAAAATGCTTAACAGTCATCTGAGCTTTCAGTGAGTTGTAATCTTTTTGCTGGTGGAGTGTCTTGCCTTGATGTTCCTAGCTGTTGACTGATCAGGGTGGTGGTTGCTAAAGGTTGAGTAGTTGTAAATCTGTGAAGTTTGCCACATCAGTTGATTCTTCCTTTCACAAAAGATCTCTCTGTAGCATGTGATGCTGTTTGAAAGCATTTTGCCCGGAGTACAACTTTTTTCAGAATTGGAGTCAACCCTTTCAAAACTTGCTGTTGCTTTATCAACTAAATTTATGGAATATTCTAAATCTTTTGCTGTCATTTCAACAATGTTCAAAGCATCTTCACCACGAACTGTTTCCATCTCAAGAAACCACTTTGCTTATCCAGAAGAAGCAACTCCTCATCTGCTCAAGTTTTATCATGAGACTGCAGCAATTCAGTCACATATTCAGGCTCCACTTCTAATTCTTGTTCTCTTGTAGTTTCCACCACATCTGCAATTACTTCCTCTACTGAACTCTTGAACCCCTCAAAGTCATCCATGAAGACTGAAATCAACTTCTTCCAAACTCCTATTGATGTTGATATTTTCACCTGCTCCTATGAATCTCAAATGTTGTCAATGGCATCTAGAATGGTGAATCCTTTCCAGTAGGTTTTCAATTTGTTTTGCTGAGATCCATCAGAGGAATTACTATCTCTGGCAACTATAGCCTTACAAAACGTATTTCTTAAATAATAGGACTTGCAAGTAGAGTGACTCCATGATCCATGGACTGTAGAATGGATGTTGAATTAGCAGGCATTAAAGCAACATTAATCTTTTTATATATTCCATCAGAGCTCTTGGATGACTGGGTACATTGTCAATGAACAATATTTTGAAAGGAATCTTTTTTTTCTGAGCAGTAGGCTTCAACAGTGAGCTTAAAATTTTCAGCAAACCGTATTATGAACAAATATGATGTCATCCAAGCTTCTGTTTCATTTGTAGATCACAGGCAGAGTAGATTTAGCATAATTCTTAGGGGAGCTAGGATTTTCAGAGTGGTAAATGAACATTGACATCAACTAAGTCACCAGCCGCATTAGCCCATACCAAGAAAGTCAACCTGTCCTTTGAAGCTTTGAAGCCAGACACTAACTTCCTTTAGCGTGAAAGTCCTATGTGGCATCTTATTCATTAGAAGCCTGTTTCATCTGCATTGAAAGCCTGTTAGTCACCTTCATCAATGATCTTAGCTAAATGGTAGATAACTTGTGTGCAGTTTCTTTATCAGCACTGGCTGCTTTACCTTGCACTTTTATGTTACGGAGATAGCTTCTTTCTTTAAACCTCATCAACCAACCTCTGCTAGCTTCAGACTTCTCTTCTGCAGGTTCCTCATCTTTCTCAGTCTTTATAGAATTGAAGACAGTTAAGGCCTTGCTCTGCATTAGGCTCTGGCTTATGGGGATGTTGTAGCTGGTTTGGGTTTCTATCCAGACCACAAAATCTTTCTCCATATCAGCAATAAAGCTGTTTTGCTCTCTTATTCGTATATTCACTGGAGTAGCATTTTAATTTCCTTTAAGAACATTACTTTGCATTTAAAACTTGGCTTTTTGATGCAAGAGTCTTAACTTTTGGCCTATCCGAGCTTTTGATAATCTTTTCTCACTAGGCTTACTCATTTCTAGCTTTTAATATAAAGCCAGAGATTTGCAACTCTTCCCTTTCACTTGATCACCTAGAGGCTATGATAGGGTTCTTAACTGGTATAATTTCCATACTGTTGTGTCTTAGGGATTAGGGAGGCTTAAAGAGAACAAGAGAGATGGGGGAATGGCCAGTTGGTGGAGTAGTCAGAACACATGTAATATTTATCAATGAAGTTCGCCATCTTATGCAGACACTGTTCTTGGTGCTCCAAAACATTTACAAGAGTGATAATGAAGATTGCTGATCACAGAGCACCATAGCAGGTGGAATAGGAACAAAAAATTTTGAAATATTATGAGAATTACCAAACTATGACACAGAGACACAAAGTGAACACAAGCTGTTGGAAAAAATGGCTGTGATAGACTTGTCCAAGCAGAGTTGCCACAGGCTTTCAATTTGTTAAAAAAAAAGGATCTGTGAAGTGCGGTAAAGCTAAGCACAATAAAACAAAGTATGCTGGTATATTAGAAACCTTTGGTTCTATAGCAACATTTTTGTCATACATAGATGCATACATGTGTACATATGCGGTTTTTCATTGCTTCCAAATTACTTCCAAGTTATTTAGACTCCCTCGTATGTCAGTGTAGACCCTTTGCAGTTTGGCTTTTACCTGCACTTTCAACCCTTATCATCTTCAGAAACCTTCAAAAATAACCTTCTTTGTAGCTCTGATGATTCACCCCCGCTACCTCCAGGCAATACACCTCTCCTCTTTGCATGGAATGAGTTCCCTCCTATTTGCTCAACTTTTGAGTGTGTGTATGTGTGTGTGTGTGTGTGTGTGTGTGTGTGTGTGTGTGTGTGTGTATGATTCTGTCTATATTAATTTGGTCCTCGGGCATTTTGTCTTAATTTGAGATTCCCACAGTATCTGAGACACTTCCTGGCACATAGTAGGCACCAAATAAACGTGGTTTTATATGAGTGCCAAGTACCATTTCTTTAGGAAGTTGATTTTCTCTGATAATTGCCTTTAGTAAAAATATTTAAATTGCTTCTTAAATTCTAAATTACATTGTTTTTATTCACACGAAAAATAAATCTTGCCGTATTTTTTCTAGAGTGCCACTTTAAAATGTATCAGATTAAAAACCATCAGCATCTCAGCATTTTTCACATTTGTACATGTATACATGCATGTGCAGACACACACAGACACACTTATCAGCAAGGTTGTTTGCCTTCACTTTTTCTCTGAGTAATAATGAAGTGAAGGTCTTAGAAACAGAATTTTATGACATGTAAACAGCATTCATAATTCCTCCAAGAGAATGCCAGTATATTTGTATCAAACAAAAAGAGCAGGAGTTATGGATGACTCAGTGTATATTCAGCCAAACAAAGAAATCTTCGTTGATTTTATTCCTACTGGAGATATTAATGGTATTGAACACCATTAATACTGTTGGCCTCAAAACAGCTCTTCACTAGGCCTCTCTTCTTCTTTCAGGACTACTTCCTTTGATTTGATTTCCAGACCATTTCTGGAATGAAGTAGTTGCACTCTGGAATAAGCTACAGGTTTTCACAGCCTCTCTCAAAATGTGGCACCAAGAACCAAGCACACTATTCACAATATTACTCATCTAAATCACTTTAGAATTCAGTGGAATTTTTGCCTTCCTAGTGCTGGGTGAGATGACTTTTGCTTGTCTCATGTTAATTGCATTCATCTTGAGCTTACAGTCAGCAAACACCCTCTACCTGAATTATTTTCTCATATAAACTGATTTTTAAGTGAAGCCTCAGGAATCCTATATGGTATAGTTAATTGCAGTCCTCTTGGTAGCATTTAACAAACTAATTTACACACTTTTTATTTTATTAGTAGTCTGTTTTAAAACTAGGCTATTGTTTATCTTTGTGAATACTTAAGTAAATTATTTTCTGTTTGTTTATTTCTTTTTAATTTTTGTAGTACTGGAGAAAATGAAACTGGGAGTGACGCATCAAGATGCTTGGCTCAATAAGAAAACCACGTTAGGGGCAACCTATGTATATTGGAGACTTCAGAGTAACCAGCAAGGAACAGAAAACTTAATCGTCAAGTTATCATATTTTCCAGATATTACATGGTACCTGAATTCTACTTCCTTGGATGTCATTGCTTAGATATAGTCCTGAAGGGTTTGTTGTGAAATATTGTATATATTTTTTCAAATGTATACCTTGTTAATAAATTAAGAAATGAGAAATATTTATTTACATGTTATGAGAGTTCTGGAGGAAGTAATATGTTGAAATAGCAAAACAGTTTAGTTTTTGAGTTTAAAATGTTATGTTTTCCTCTTATATCTTCATATCAGGACAGCAGTAACCTGAATTTAGATTGTCACAGTTTACAAGTTTTTGTTTGTTCCTTCCTTCCTCTCTCTTTTCCCACTCACTTTTGTTTGTTGTTTTTTCCTAATTTACATGTTTAAAGTTCTACTTAAAAGTTTTCTTCAAGTTTTCCATGTTATGGCTCATTCTTTTGCAGTTCAAGAATTGCTTATATTTTTAAAAGATACTCATTTTCTCTTATACATAATTGATTTTTTGTAAACTACAGTTCATAGTTCTTTTAGCTTGTAAGTATGAATATAGTAGAATATGAAAATGTGGCTATTTAGATAACTAGCCAAAAGGTCGTCTGACCACCAGTTTTAGTATTGAGCGTAAGATATTTTTATAGATTCATGTAAGGCAATGTAAATTGTCTTTCTACAATAAAGTTTTTTGATGCAAATTTAGATTTCAGAAACTTTTTGATGGTATAAAGGAACTGAGGAACAAAAGGCTTTTTGAAATAGCTCACCTAGACCTGTTAATGTAATATATTCTTTCTGAGTTAACCAAATTAATTTTTTGTTTTTTAAGACTAGATCTAATCCCTCTAGCTTTTTTGCTGGAACTTTGGGGAAAAAGAACAAATACAAATATACAAATGATATGAACAATATAGTAATAATCTTTTGCAACTTAATATGTTACATAGTCATATGACTTGGTCTTGGAAGACAAAGAATTGTTTTGGTGCTGAATAAATATTAAAAATCAAGTGACAGAGAAAATGAAGGTAAAATTGTGGCACAGTTTCAGAGAGGGCCATTAATGATAATGTGTATTTGTCTCAAATTCTTAGCCCTGAGCTTGCCTCTTTAGAGTGGTGTTACCAGCGAGAGGGCAAGCATGTAATTAAGAGACACTCTAGAGGCATATGGAATGTGATTTGTATAAAACATACCTGCTGATTAGAAAAATGGTAAGAATGAAAATACCTTTATACATCATCTTAAGAGAGCGTATATCTAAACTAAATGGGCAGGCCTCATCCTCTACCTTTCTTTTTCTTTTCTTTGCGTGTTTATGTCTTTTTTGTTGTTCAGACATTTTTATCCCTCTGCATGCTCATTCTTGTAGTTCCATTTCTATTGGCACTTCCTCCAAAATTTTTCTCTGAATTACCTTTGTTGAAAGTGACCTTTCTTCCTTGTGAACTCCTACACTTGCATCTCCTATTTCAGGGTTTGGCATATTTTTTCTTTAATGGGCTAAGAAAGTAAGTATCTTCAGCTTTGGGGGACATATGGTCTCAATAGCATCAACTTAACTCTGCTAACTGGAAGGCAAAAGTGTATCATCTTACTCATCCATAAACTCCACAGCACTCTGCATAGATAGGAGCCTGTTTATAACGAAGTCAATAAATAATTCTGACACAGACATAAAATTCTCTAAGGGCAGATAGACACTGACACCTAGTAAGAAAGGTTGATCATGAGTAACTTTGTATTCAGTGCCACCTTAGCAAGAATTGTAAAGAGGAAAAACCTTTCTAGGAAGGGTGACGCGTGCTGGGTGAGGAAGGAGCGTCTCTCAGGAGGGTGAACAGTAGCTGTGGATTTGCTGAGAGATTTTGGCTGTGAGTGACAAGCCTATATCAAAAAGAAAAGTGACTTATCAATCTCAGTTTTTATTGCTCAAAGCAATTCTTCACTCCTAATTTTTCCAAATTCCATTGTTTTTACTCTTTAGAGCTCTATCCTGAGTGTAGTCTGCATGTTTCTTTATTGTCATTGCCATGTGACTTCTTTGGTGACAAGTTCAGTAATATTTCAAGCATGATGTTTGTTTTGAGTTTGAGAAATGTGTTTGTGAGGACACATCACTTTAATTAAAAAGTGTGAATACTATGGTCATTAAGTTATTCAGAGTGAGATTTCTGAGTGGGGGAGAGAGAATGTAGATGGCAGTTATTGAGAGTGGGGCTATAGGAAAGAAAGAAGAAAAGTATGGTTAACATTCCCAAATAAAGGGTGATACAGTCTTGCTTTTTGCTGGGGTTAGCAAAAATCATTCTCCATATGCTAGTTTTAGATGTTCCCCAGTTCATTTGTATTATTGAGTTTTCAACTGGGTATATATTGTTATAATAGCAGTCAACATGATGTAGGGGCTCGGTATTACATGTCAGGACTATATTAATTGCTTCATGTGCCTTATCTCATTATTCTATGAGATAGAATTGTCTCCTCATTTTTTAGTTGCAGTAACTGAAGTTTAAAGCAATTGAATCATCTGCCCAAGAATAAGCTGCTGGTGAGAGCACAGTTGGGATTTAAGTCGAGTTAGGCCCCAGTGATCACAGTCTTGACTGTTAAATTCTTCCAGCCTTCATTTTTCACTGAGATAATGGTAATGATAGTACTGACCTCTAATGTGTGCGTTTGTGGGTGTGTGGTCCATTCAGCTTTAATCCCCAGAAGACAAGACTTATTCCTTTTCTTATTTTTGGTCATGTTTTATTTTTCCATTGCTTTTAACAAGATTACCAAAGGCACACTCAGTAGTCAGTAAACACATTTCTAAGAAAGGTGTTGTGTCATCATGCCACATATTCATACTTGCCTTGGGTTGGAAAATATATCATTCAGTAAAAACATACAGGTAAAATAAATCTTGCCAATGCAATTGTTAACCTACAATCCTAATATACCTTAAGTATATCCTTGCACATAAATATAACATTGCCATTTAAAACGATAAACCAAGTTGAGATTCTTAGGAGCATGTTGTAAGTAATTACTAATGTTTGCTTTATTTTAGATAGATCACACAACTTCAAATAAAAACTGATATAGATTGAACACCCTGAGAATAAACCTTAGTGCCAAATGGAAAATAATTTTTTACAAGTAAATTTGAAGAACAATGTGGACTTTCTATAATTATATACAGAAAATATACTGATTTACCAAATGAGTAATTTTGATATATTAATATTTCACTTATAAGAATGCATACCACCTGATCCAGGATGGGAGCAAGGAACAGAAAAAGAACATTAGGTAAAAATGAAAGAAATCTGAATATAGTATGGAGTAGCTAAAAACAAACCCCCCAAAAAAGGAAAAACAGAATAAGCCTTAGAAGATAGTGAGCATCCCACTTGGGTGACCACTTACAGAAGCTGAGGTGGGACCCCTGCATCTGATAAGAGGTTGCACTAGACCACAGGAACCACATTCCACTATAAGAACTAGGGTGGGACTGGACATGTCAAAACCTCCTGGGACCTCTATTAAATGTGCACATTCCCAATCCCCACTCCTGAGCAGCTAAATCAATCTGCAGGTGGGCCTTATGAGTTTTCCCAGGGGATTCCGATGCCTGCTAGATTTAAACAGTAGATTAGATGTTAAGTTTTCCTGTAGTCCAGAGATTCCATAGGCCAGTGTCAGGGAACAGGGGTCAGGGCTGGGAAGGCATTAGAACAGAAGATATATTTGAGGCTCTGTTACGCTGGTCATCCAACCCAACCAGATATCTCTTGTTATATGCTAACCTCATTTTCTCTTTATTGTCTATAGTGGCATAAAATAAATTTTATGTAGCCAAAAAACCTAACAAAAAGCACTTTTCTGTATAATGAGTAGTTTATTTTAAGAATGGGTACTACGTAAATACTGGCAAGTGAAAGTTCATTTTGTTCAGTGCTATGGGCTGGTGCGTTGCATTTCAACACTAGCTTCTTACTTTTATCTACCCTGAGGGTAGATAACCCATATTCTAAAATGCAGTATCATTTTCATTTACTGTTAGTAACATTTTAAGAAATATGTAGTTTCTAAAACTTCATATACTTTATGTGGAATATGAACAACTTTAATATAAATAGTCTAGAAAAAAACTGGTTTTTTTAGGAAAAATTGTCACGAAATCATGAGCTAAGTCAATGGTTATTTTAAGCCACTTAATTCTGAGACTAGTATTTCATACAGAAAAAGCTAATACTGATATCACATGCTAATTGCGTATAAAACACTAGGAATGTCAAAATAGAACATAAGAAAATGAATCTAGTGGACCCACTGCATAGTGTAACTTTGGGATGAATTTAAAATAATATTTAAGTCACAGTCAATTTTCTGTTGGTCTGATTTTACCAAATAACCCCCTAAATAAGGAGTCTGATTTATCTAAAATAGAAGTTAACGTAGCATCCCAGTATTGCCATTCTAAAACTCTGGCGTGTAAATGGGAGAAATAGAAATAAGCTCAAACTCGGTAGAGTAACCATTTCTTCATGAACCATAGCATTTAACTAGAATTTGGCCAGCTCATGCCTGTAATCCCAGCATTTTGGGAGGCCAAGGCAGCCAAATCACTTGAGCCCGGGAGTTCAAGACCAGCCTGGACAACATGGTGAAACCCCATCTCTTCAAAAATACATATATTTTTGTGTGTGTATGTGTGTGCACAAAAATTACCTAAGCATGGTGGTGCATGCCTGTAATCACAGCTACCTGGGAGGCAGAGGTTGCAGTGAGCTGAGATCGCATCATTGCACCCCACCCTGGGTAACAGAGCGAGACGACTCTATCTCAAAAAAAAGAATTTCACTAGAATTTATATCTTCAATGTTTACATTAGATTGTCACCAGCACTTTCTGCCTTGTGACTGTCAGGACTAATCCTTACATTGTTTATCGTATGTCCTTTACCTCAGTTTATGTCCATCACCACAAGAAACCCAGACCTCCCTAATCATACCTTATGCCCTGGTCTTACCCGCATATGGCTCGATACAGCTGCATCTCCCCAAACCTCAGAACTCCTTGGGCCATCATTGTCAGAGACATTTGAACCAGAGCAACTCCATCTTGAATAGGGGCTGGGTATAAGGAAGCTGAGAGCCACTGGGCTGCGTTCCCAGGAAGTTAGGCATTCTTAGTCACAGGATGAGATAAGAGATTGGCTCAAGGTAAGGTCACAAAGACCTTCCTGGTAAAACAGCATGTGGTAAAGAAGCCAGCCAAAACCCACCAAAACCAAGATGGGAATGAAAGTACCTCTGGTCATCCTCACTGCTCATTATACACTAGTTATAATGCATTGGCATGCTAACAGACACTCCCACCAGCACCATGACAGTTTACAAATGCCATAGCAACATCAGGAAGTTATCCTATATGGTCTAAAAAGGGGAGGAACCCTCAGTTCTGAGAACCACCCTTTTCCTCGAAAACTCATGAATAATCCACCCCTTGTTTAGCGTATGATCAAGAAATAACCATAAAAATAGCCAACCAGCAGCTCATGCTGCTGCTCTGCCTATGGAGTAGCCATTCTTTCTTCATAAACCTGCTTTCACTTTATGGACTCCCCCGAATTCTTCTGCAGGAGATCCAAGAACCCTCTCTTGGAGTCTTAATCGGGACCCCTTTCCAGTAACCTCAGCAGGATCTGTGAGTGCCAGTTTGCTTCTGTGGGGAAAAACTAAGTGCTAAGTACACTTTTTTCCCCTTTTCTCTGTTTTTAAGAGAACTTTCTGCCCTTTTGAAGTGGCTACATTGTCTGGGGTACATACCCTGGAGTTCATTGTCACAGGAGAATTTAGGACAGACACACGAGGAGTTTAGGAAGGGGAGGTTTAATAGGTAGAAGAGAAGGGAAAGAGAAACAGCTTCCTCTATAGATATCTGCACTCACACCGTGCATACCTCCAGGCTTTAAGGCATGGCCCATAATGTGTCTCCGAGTGGAAAAAACTGATGGTCTCCAAGTGGAAAAGACCAGTTGGTGGTGAATGTGCCAGATTTTCTAGTCCGGTTTGAGAAGGTGGTTTCTGATTGGTTCGATCAGGTATGACATTTGGATAGTGCATGTGGAAGGCTGGTCGCCCCTCTCTGATCTTGTGCAAATAGGCTTTCCAGTTGATTGGGCCCATCTTGTCTAACACGTGGCTGGCAGAGAAGGGAAGATGAAGCCACCATCTTGAAAATGTCTAGTCGTTAGTTTCTGCTGGCATTCACCCATGCAAGCTCCCAGCTTGTTTGTCTATGTCTGCAGCTCAGCTTTACAGACTGCTCTTTGTTAGAAAATGATTTGGAGCTGCTTTTCGTTAAAGAGAAAAGCCTTACCGGGGACTCCCATACCCTTACTATCTGCTTAAGTGATTTCTTCTTAACTCCTATATCACTTTTACACAGCACAAAATGATGTGTCCATAAATGAGCCTTTGCAAGACTACCATTTATCAAACAAAACCAGTGATGTTTAGTTAACTGTTTGTAATAGTAAATGGTTAGTAGAATGTCTAATTCAATAAATGTTTCATAAATGAGTAAATGAATGGTTTAATTTCAGTAAGCTCGATTCTTGATCAAACGTTCCCTTTTAAATCTAATTTTAAAAATCTGAGTTTGATGTTTTTTAAAAAGGTTAATATAAACGTAGCATACAATACAGGAATTTCACTCCAGGTTATCTGCCAAGAGAAATGAAAATATGTCCACATGAAGACTTGCACACAAATGTTCTAAGCGTGATTCATAATAGCCAAAAAAAAAAAAAAAAGAAAAAAAAACAACTCACGTGTCCATCAATTGGTGAATGGCTAAAAATGATGTGATATAGTCACACAATGGGATACTGTTCAGCATAAAAAGGGAACTCCACCTCCTCCCACTGCAACTGGAACAGCTGGTTCTGTGGCAGCGTCCACCTGGCTGCAGCTTCCTCCTCACCTCCTCTTGGTCTTCACCTCAGATCCCCCTCATCCACCTTCACCCATGCTGCGGTCACCAGCCCTGTGGCAACCTTCAAGCCTGGACATTCGCCTTCCCCTCTGGCACTGCTTACCAGAGTCAGTTTTCCTCACATCTCTGCACTGACACCATGCATACCTCCAGGCTTTAAGGCGTGGCCCATGATGACCATAAGGAGCAGTAGAGCCCAGGCTGCTGCCTGGGAACACAAGTAGCCCAAGAAGCAGTAGACTAGCCTGAGGCCCCGGGTGCTTGCTGGGCTGCAGACACCCATAGACACTTGAGTTCATCAACAGTTGGCCTGACTGCACCAGAACAAATCAAGTTTGCTAAAAAGAATCGTGATCTTGAAAGAAACTAGGGTGCCTTATTTAAGCCTCTGCAATGATTTGAGATGAAAATGACCAATTCAGAAAACTGTTGTGAGAGTCTTATCGAGCAAAGGGGGCTTGCTGCCTGATGCATTAAAAGCCTATACTGTGACATCAGGTTTTTGTGAAAAGGAAAGCTTTATTTGAAAGTCAGCACCCAAGGACACAGGAATCAAGCTCAAATCTGTCTCCCTGTGCTGGCTTTAAGGTAGTAATTGTATTACAAAAGGTTTAGAGGATGAATACTGGCATTAGCAGGTGATTGGTGGTAGGAAAGAGGAGGCCTGCAAAGTCCCGGGGCATATGCAGTTATCTCTTCATGTCTCCTCATGGGTCCTATGTGCAAATTTGGGAAGAGTTAGTATAAACCGTGTGGTGGAAATTTAGGCCGTGACATTAGCATGCTTGTTCTGCAGAAACTTTAGTTGGCCATCCTGGTTCCAGCTGATTGCAACCAGTTTTTTCATCGCTTAAGCAAGGAGATTTCTGTGTTTCAGCAAGTGGTTTCTTTTTCTATGTGGCATTCTACAAACTCGAAAATTTCTGTTAGTCGTTGGTCTCTTTAACTCTTTGTGGTATTGTTTCAATTTTCAAATAAAGCATGAGGCAAACATCAAACAAGCAAAGCTTAAAGAAGAAAAAGGCTGGAGTAAAGGAAGATTCCAAAGAAATAACTGGGGCAAAGCTGAAGAAAAAGAGTTTAAAGGAATTTCTGATGAGGCTAAAGAAAATTTCTGGATTTTAGTTCACTGTTTTAAAGAATATTGTTTCGATTCTGTGATTAAGAAGCATTAATGAATTTGTTGTAAAAAATTTGAAAGATGTTGAACTAAAACTCAGTTCCTGGCAAGCCCCTAAAAGTTACACATTTGAATTTCACTTTGAGCCTGGTGAGTATTTTAAAAACAAAGCGCTAACAAAGACATATAAAGTCTTGACCAGAATTTATATCAAATCCTTACCTTTGTCAGGGAGTTGAAATTCAAAGCTGCATAAGATGTCAAGTAGATTGCAAGAAAGGAAAAATCTATCACCATGAAAACCATTCAGATGGCTGGGCGTGGTGGCTGACACCTGTAATCCCAGCACTTGGGGAGGCTGAGGCGGGCAGATCATGAGGTCAGGAGATCAAGACCATCCTGGCTAATACAGTGAAACCCCATCTCTACTAAAAATACAAAAAAGTTAGCCGGACATGGTGGCAGGCTCCTTTAGTCCCAGCTCAGGAGGCTGAGGCAGGAGAATGACGTGAACCCGGGAGGCGGAGCTTGCAGTGAGCAGAGATCGTGCCACTGCACTCCAGCCTGGATGACAGAACAAGAATCCATCTCAAAAAAATAAAAAATAAATAAATAAAACCATTTAGAAGAAGAAAAGCAGTATGAATGGGAAAAAACAAAGTTACTTAAGTAGTTTCAGTGATTCATTCTTTTTTAGTCTTCCTATAGTTCCTGAACAAGAATACCTGGATGAAAAAGAAGCAGTTATGCTTGCTTAGGACTTTAAAATAAATCAGATTATACATGATGATGAAATCGCCAAATCAGTATCTTACCTTACAGGAAGTGTTTCTCATGTTTCTGAAGAGGATCCTGATAATAAATATGACAGGACACTTGATGAGGATGAGGAGGATACATTTGCAAAAATTACTAAAAATATAAGAATATCTGACTAGAATTGTGTGAACTGTAAGCTATAATGTGTAACCTTAGTTATTATAACAAAGCCAACAGCATTTATAGTCTTACTATACGTAATTTTCTTGGTGGAGATAGTTTTAGAGAATATGCCAAGGAAGTTTTGAAGTATTAATTAATTATCCTTAGCTTGTATTAGTATCAGTTTCTGCAAGATGTGGAGAATGAAGTAAATTCCATAAAGCAGATTAATTTGTTCTGACATATTTACTTTGTGTGAACTCCTTTTGACAAGTACTTCTTGAACTGCAACTCCAAATGTTATTTGAACTGTTAGCAGATATATATTTACATATATATTTTGTTTTGGCTCAGTTGAAAGTTTATTCTGCTAGAGCTAGAGGTATTTTCTTTATTCTGCTGAAGCAATGCAGTGACTTATTAAATTATAAGGTAGTTTGCTTTTTAAATGTTTTAAATCAATTACTAGTCCACATTTAAGAATTTCTATTATAGTGACAATGTTAATTACTGCTTTATTATGGTTTTCTTAATGACAGTAATCTATAATTAAACTGTCACAGTGAGGTATTTACCATTATAGTATTAATATAATGTTCTTAAATGTTTGCATAATGGTATGTAAGATGAATAAGCACATTTTCTTTGGGGCAGAGCCCATGTTATATTTCATTGAAATGTTCAAAAGTACTATTCAGCAAGCTTTGTTCACATTCTTTTGTTACTTGAAAGTGTCAAAAATAAAAAACGAACAGAAGAAATAATATTTCTGTGAGAGAAGATACATTATAGTAGTTAAATAGAGAACTTTTAGCTTGGCAAACTAGGGATTTTTTAATAGCATGTGTAATTAAAATTTGAGAGATTTTTTTTTTTTTACACTGCTGTTCCACAAACATTTTGCTTGAGTAGATATAACATTTTGCTTTCTTTTGGAAACCCAAATAAGAGGGATATGATCAAAAAATAAGAAAGTGGTAAGAACACACAAACTGAATAAACAGCTGAACATACTAATAAGAGAAAATGTGTTTGTTGACTTCAGAAAGGAATTAATATGAAATAAGAGAAAGTTAACATAGTCTGTCTCTTTATCATCATTTAGAGACTGTGCTTTCTGACAGGAAGTTGCTGCTAGGACAATATTAGAGATTATCATTGTTTTCATAAAGACAATTCAAAGATGAATTAGTAATATGTCAATAATAAATGAGTAATTTATTAGTAACCAATTTTGTTATGAATGAGAGTGGGGAACTATTAGATTAAAGCCAGAAAACTGTATGATTGAATTCAGAATGGATAGAGAAGTTTGCATAAAGGCCTGAGATCCAATAATATTTGAATCCTACATTGTTTTCAGGAACAATATACAAAGGGGACATTAGCATAATGGAAATGAAAGTATCAATAGTGCCCTATATGCCAATGTTTAGCTCTGTTTTAAAAAGGGTGAAAAAGCTAAATTGAAAACACTGGTTTGAGGACTAAAAGCATCTTCCTCTTAGTTCTAAACTACTGCATCTTGCCCCTCTTGCTAGATATATGGAGGAAAGAACCGGAAGGGAGTTTGCTTGGAGTGGGTGGGGAAAGAAACACGAAGGTAGAATCTGTATCAGCCCTTGATTAGTTTGTCCACCCATTTCATCCTTGGAGATGATGGAGTGGGAAAGTGTTGTCTGTGCATTAGGTTCCTATGACTGCTGTAAAAATTTACCCCCAATTTAGTGATAAATTTACCACCAACTTATCTTACAGTTTGGAGGTCAGAAGTGCAAAATGGATCTCACTAGACTAAAATCAAGAGGTCAACAAGGCTGCATTCCTTTCCTTTCTTTTTTTGTAAAATATTTAAAGAGGTTTATTTTGAGCCAACTATGAGTGATCAAGGCCTGAGGTACAGTCACAAGAGGCCCTGAGAACATGTTCTCAAAGTGGTTAGGTTACAGTTTGATATACATTTTAGGGGGACAGAAGTTACAGGCAGACATTAATCAAAAATGTTAGGTGTATATTGGTTTAGTCCAGAAAGGTGGGACAACTCGAAGGCGAGATGCTTCCAGACCGTAGGTGGACTCAAAGAGTTTGTGATTGGAAATCAGTTGAAAGAGTTACTATCTTAAGACCTGGAATCGATAGAAAGGAGTGTCTCAGTTAAGTGTTTGTGGAGACCAAGCTTCTTTTTCTTTTTTTTCCCAATAGCTCTTGGGGCACAAGTGTTTTTTGGTTACGTGGATAAATTGTATAGTGGTGAAGTATAAGATTTGAGGCTGTAGGGAAAAATCTGTGTTTTTTTGCTTTTTTTTTCAGCTTTTAGAGGCTGCAGATACTACTTCCATCTTCAAAGCCAGCAATGGCTAGTCATGTCCTGATTCTTCTGCCTCTCTCTTTCCCCTTGAAGGACCCTTGTGTTTACATTGTGACTACCTGGATAATACAGGTAATCTATTTAAGATTAGCTGATTAGCAACCTTAACTCCCTCTTGGCTTGTAACCTAGCAAGTTCAGGGGACAAGGATGTGGACATCTTGTTGGTTAGTGTGGGCGGG